CCTGAATGTATCCATTCATCTGTCAGCCTGAACACTGATTCTGCATTTGTGAGTATTCAGTTCCTCTTGAGATCATTCATAATCATGTCACCTAAAGCATCCCATATATTCTGAGATTTGCATCAAGACCACCTCCTTTTCTGATGTGCAAGGATTATGTTTTTCCAGATTTGGTTTGGTTAATAATTGAGTGCTAACTCAGTGCAACTGTATGTTTTCTTTCCTGCTAATCTTTTCACTCCCCTTGTTATGAAAGCACATTTATTTTGCATCTACAGAAGGTTTAGTAGACTTTTGCCGTTTAGTTGATTTCAGTTGTTACCTTTCAAGTGCTTAAATATTGCTCAGATTATCTTTCTTTCCAATCTCTTATGTCTATATATTAGTTAATAATCACATCTACAATACTGTGCTAATCACTCCTTTCCACTTCAATCAATTTCTTCTAGAAGAATCAGTCTTTTTCTATCAGTCTTCTATCTCCAAGTCTACATGCATCATCTATTTTTCAGTCTCCCCTAAATACATGTATTTATATATTTAAATAAATATATTTTCTCCATTACTCCTATCTTTATAATATCTGGGTTAACTCATTAGTTTGCAGTGATAAATCTCTTTTCCTAGTGTTGCTTGAGTAATGCAAACTGATATGTAAATGAGAACACTGACTTTGGCTCACAGTTGCTTGTTAAAATCTTCTTTTTAATATTTTTTTTTCCATTCATTGGTTAAATTTTGGCACCCTAACAATTCAAATGGGGCACAGAGTACTAATTATTTTTGTTGTTACATCATTTTTTAAACTGTTGCATTCATGCATATCAGAATTAATACTGCATGACTCAGGAGAACGGTTCTTCACAAAGGGTGAAATAATGCCATCAACAAAACCATTACTTTTTAGTCTGTAAATACTTATGTAAGTAGCAAATGAGTTATTAAAAAATACAGTTGATTAATGAATGATTGTCACATGTGAAAGCTAAGTTTTTTATCCTATTATTTGAAATAAAAAGCCTAATCAAGTTAAGAAACATAATTGGGATCTGCAGAATAGATGCTATGCTAGCAAAGGGTCAACTGAGTTTCCATCAAAGAGAATGACAATACTGTACTTGTTCAAATGTGAATAGCCTTAGAACCTAAAGACATTTAATTGCATGCTGCATAATATGTGCCCCCATGCTGTAGGCTTAATATAAAAACTTTTAAGAATGTGTTTATTCAGAGATTAAAAAATAAATTATTTAACTGTAGTTGCTATACAAAATTCTCATTCTGCTTAATATCTCACAGGTAACATTAACAAGAGTAAACAATAAGTTAACTTTTCTCTTATATTTTATTTTCTTTTAAAGTTCAAAAGAAAACTTGGGAATGTTATAACTAGAAAGGTAGAAGTGATTCTTTACATGTGCCACAGTTGATGTCACATTTGTACTGTCCTAATGAGGGGTACACCTCAGCTTTCCAACTCATTGATTTTAGTAGGAATTAGATATCCAGTGCCAATTCTTTATAGAATTTAGTTGGGTGAAGTTGTTTTTTGAACACGGAATTAGTTTTGTCTGTATCTGATTCCCAGGAAGCTCTTACACAGTGCCTCTGGCAGCAAATTTCAGTTGCTGGTTAGTAAAATAGTTGGCCAGTGCAAAATACTAAGTACAACAGTGTCTGAATCACCTGTTGCAGCTTAATGATGGCTTCAGAAGTACTGGCAGCTACTCAACTACTTCTTAGATATCTTAATTTATTAGTGTAGCTTCTGAAATGGTGAGCAGAGCAAACTTTGTTTTTTGAAACCTCCAACATGATGTTGGAGGCCCCCAGTTACTAAATATCTTGTAGCCTTCCAAGCAGTGGGATATCTGGGCCCTTCTCAGACTAAAGCTTAAATTGAAATTTTATTTTATTAGTGTCTAAAGGCAGAAGCAAAGATGAGAAAACCCACTCTCTTCTTATTGTAATACACAAGATGCTACAGTTCATTTCTGCAAGAGCTTATATTCTAATTCAAAAAGCACTACAAACATAATGTAGAAGCATGAGCTTCAAGGTGGAAGAGTGTAAGGTCCCTGTCATTTATCAAGTTAAATAGCTGTTCATCTTTATGGTTGCGAGTCACACGAATACTTTTTTTTTCTTCCCTTTAATATACACTTCATACAGTAGTGCGCGTGTGGATGAATATATATTTATAAAGGAGATTGTTAAGGCTGGCACAAGAGATTCAAAATAACAGACAAGAGCCATTCTCCCCTCCTTATAGGTATTCTAAGTGCTAAAGAAAGTAGCTTAGCTTAAAATGTTTACCATATCCAGTATATCATACTGTCTCCACATCTGAGTTCTGAATATAATTCTCAACTTCCTAAAGAACTCTTCCCCTTTCCTCCCATTCCAAAATGCCAATGACTCAATAACTAGTTGGATGACAGGTACAAAACTGGTAACTATGGAATTGAACAGCTATTGGGCACAATCATGCATCCATTTACTCACACATCTCTGGTATACTTATGTTTACAGAAAACACTCATTTATCTTACCATATAAATCAGAAGTACATTTTATTATTTCTACACCCCCCACAATTTTGTTTCTCTCAGGAAATTACATGATGTATAGTGTAGGATTTTTCCCTTGTAAAATAAGATGTAAGCAATTAATTGGTAGATTCTTGACCCATCTAAATGAAAGAATCAGATTTAAGTCATGCTTTAAAAATGGTGCTGCATGTGTGTAAGACAGAAATATCAAGTCTCTGCCCTGACAAAGGGCTGAGTACAGTGCAAGCAACATTGTGAGCTTTCTTGTGAACCATGAATCAATAACTAATGGGAAAAAAATACTTAAGCCTGCTAGAAGGGTACACCACGGTATCCCCATGGGCTGATCATGGGCCTGTGGTGACACCTCATCATAGAGACTGTCTGTGTTAGAAACCAGGAGGGATATAGTTCTGTGGATATCTGACACCATCCAGAAGCAGTAAGCAAGGGGAAAACATCTGTTACTGAGCTGCTTCACAGAAGCTGAACGTCGAGATGGACTGGAGCATTGCATTCATCTCTCTTGGCTGTGATGATATATTGGAGTGATAACTGGGGGACAGGGATCCCCAATGAACACTCTCTGCGTGTGTGTGAGTGTGCACAAAGTTCTCCCTGACACAGCCCCCCTCACTTAGTAAACTCAATGAACTGGGCTTAGCAGTGTCATGTTGTTTGGCGTACGAGTGTTGAAGGGTTCACTCGTAAGCACTGCACTCTGTGAGAGCTGGGTGTCATTGTCTAAACTGAAAGGTCTTACTCAAAGCAAATATTCTCCCACAAGAGCTTAAGCATGAGGGAGAAAAAAAATGTTTTTAAACAAGTGCCTGAAGACACCAGTGGCTACATGAACAATGTTAAGAAAAGAGCCAGTACACACATGCATCTGGGAGCCTCTAGCTCAGGACAAATGGTGAAGACTGGTTGCATTTCACCTATCTAGCACCTGGTTTCCTAGAATGCTCTAGGAGCATTCTAGATTTGATAATCACTTTCTCTATGTGTATGTAATTGTGTGTGTATGTGTCTCTGTGTTCAATTCAAGGTATGTGGAATAATGTGAAGATTGTACAGGTAGTTTCTGAAAACAGTTTCACAGCATGAAACTGATGGATGTATCACACCGTGGGCCAGGCAAGTAGGGAAGATGGAGAATGCAAGGCCTCCTCAGCTAGTGTTGGAGATCTGTGTCTGACAGAAAGACAAACCTGGTGCAATCTGGTCCATGATGTCCACTATGGAGCTTCCTTGGCCTGTGCTGTAGCTGCAGATGAAGGCCAGAGAAGTGCTAGTTTACATGGACCCCAAATCCTACCTTGTTATCCACTGAGCAGTGAAGACATCAGAGGTCTAGTGCACAAACTCATTTAGATAACGCCAACAGCAGCTGGGGCTAACACTAGGAATGTTTCGAGTATGCAGAAGAAAAAGAAAATACTCCAAAATATATTATTTGAACATATAAAACTGAGAAAAAGAAGTAATATATTTTCTAAAACATTACAAACTGCTGCACTGTTACTGAGTGACTCCCCATAAGTTATACAGTAACAAGACATAGCTCTCCTGCGTTCCAGGCCATGGCCATAAGTGCTTATTTGCACACTAAAGCAATATTTTACCTATCCTTATGAAAAAGAAGCATTGTACTTCCCTGTTCTAGCCTTGCTCTGTTGACTGATTGTGTTCCCAGCAGAAGACTTTGTAAGAACGGAACAAATGACTGAAAACTCCTATGCACCAGACCTCACCATTCTCGTAAGGACATCAGTGACAGCACCAATGCTAGGACAGCACACTATATTTTAGTAAATAAGTACTTATGATTATAAGACTCAGAAATGTTTTGTGTCTTTTATTTTTTCTACATTGTGAAGGAAAATTAAGATCTATTTCTAATTAATATAAAAGCTTTACTTCTGCATATCCAATGGCTTTGTAAATTCAGAAGTCTGATATTGATTTTTTGGATACTATTTGTTGTAAATTATTCACATGAAACAATTGACAGTAAATGTAATGAATGGGCACTTATAGGATACTGAGTACAGTTCTATAATATAAAACCAACTGAAAAAGGATCTATTTTATCGTGTTCTTTGAAGTTAACAGAGAATGACCTACCTGGGTCATAGCCAACATACATAATTTTCTCAGTCTACAGTTATTAAGTCAGTCTTATTACATCATTCAGATAAAATATAAAAGCAAATTCTTGCTTTTTCAGTAAAAAGTAGCTCTTCCATCCTCTGGCAGCCAGAATTTAAACTATAATAAATCAAACTTATCTTTAATACAATTCCACTGCTATAATTTAAACTGCATCAGAATTAAGTTTGGCTTTAAAAAACATTTTGTGATGAGAGCTTGCAGGTATCCTTATCTTTTTGCTTTAGCTCACTTCCCTAGAAGCATGTTTCAGAAACATTTTTGTCTTATCAGATCTGGGCTTGTGGGCTGATCCCACTGCCAGGCTCAACAATATGGGTGATGGTAGCCACAGTGCAGAAGATGGCTGTTTTACGATACCTTTGCTTTCATTCTTTGGAGGTGAGGTGCTTTCTCAGGACAATGTTAATCCAAGAAGGGAGGAATGTCAAGAATGGGAACCACTACAAGGTCATGAACAATCAGGGGGTTTTAGCCATCCAGCTGGGCCTCCTTTGCAATTTGGAATGCTTATGGCAACTATTCCAAGTTACACAGGATCAGCTGTGTCGGGGTCTGGCCTTTGAGAAGACCATTTTAAGACTCTTGAGTATAGCCATGGAACTGTACCTCTCTATTGCCATGCACTAGGCCACCTCCATTTAAGTGCTGAAGGAGATATGCTAGATCAAATTTTCTATACTCCTGAGACAGCTTTCTTCAAATAAAGGACAGGACTGCAGTCTTCTCCCCATGCCTTTTTGTATCAACATCAGATCCCTGGGGGAAAAAAAAAAAAAAAAATTAGGAGGATGGGGTTCTACAGTTCTCTGGAGTAGGGTTTTACATAATGGGACACCATGGTGTGTGTCCAGAGTGATGAAGGCATGGGTGGAGCCGTGCATGGTGGGGTAGCCTATACTGAGACCTTTGTGCAGGAGAGAAAGGCAGTTTAGAAAAATTACGTGGCTTTGGCCATATTGCTCAGTGGTACCATTATCTGCCATAAGCTATCTCCTGTGTCAGGGAATACAAATTGTTTGCTAGTGTTAGCTGACCTGAACCAGCAACTATTCTAAAAATGCAACAGTATAAACATTTACATGCTGGGCATGCATCATGGCCTTGTCTCATTTACGAGGGTAACACAGCCTTTTCTACTAAATATTACCTTGAATATTAAACATGTACTTTATCTGCATACTTCTCTGTGACATAAAGCACACCAAGACCACACAATTGACCTGCAAAACAATGGAAAAGAGAGCTCCTTTAGAGATATACCAGGCAAAATGCTATGTGAAGGTATATGGGGTTTCCTCCCATTAACGTACATATGTGAGAATCTAGGTCTGTTAGATCATCTAAATTAGATTTATGTTTCCAAGAATACTAGAACCTCTTTTTTCACTCTGTGTCAAAAAGAAGCATTTCTTTCATGTGAATGTTTTCCTCTCTAGACTAGCCTTATAACTTACTTTTCTGCTGTGTTAAGGACAAGCTTATTCAGATGTTTATAAATGCTTTCCCAAATACAGATGTGTTCCTGAATTAAGACTGAATTAAGACCGATAAAAACTGAGTCAGTAAACATTGAAAACAAAGTCAACTGCAGGTAAAAAGCATTCTTACATCACAGTTTATATAGCTTTGGTTGCTTTTTATTCCTGTTAATTAATTCCCGTAAATTAATCCCTAGCTTTGGTCATAGTTTAACAGATTGTGTCAGGACAATCATTCCTTTCTTCCAATCAAAATGCTAAGAAAAGATGGACAGATTTCTTGGAAGGAGGTCTGACTTTTTTTTTCATATGAAGCTATAATTTTGTTGAACAGCTTGTTTATAGGAGGATTGTGCCCAGAAGAAAATTAAGATCTCAGTACACCACTTTTTTCTGTCAGTCAGAGGGCATTTGCTGAGCTAGCCCATAATGTTTTAGCTATGTAAAAGCTCTCAACAGAGACACATAGTTTATTGTGCAGAGAGTACAATATTTTGTGTATGCTTATTGCCAAAGTAAATCAAAAGACATGTCAGGCAAATTCATTGTCATTGCAATCACTGGCAGGGCAGGGCCAGTTTCAAGCAAGAGAAATAAAGAATGCAAGCAACTCATCTAACTGGCAAGTATGACAAATGGAGACTAGTCAATTCCACATTTTTTTGCCAGAACAATTTCTTCTTTAGAATGCCTATTCATCCACAGTAATATAAAATGTGTCACAGAATCACTGAGGTTGGAAGTGAGATTTTCTACTCCAACCTTCTGCTCAGAGCAAGGTCAGCCTGCTTAAAGGCAGGTTGCTCAAGACCATGTCCATTCAGCTTTTTAATAGCTCCAAGGATGAAGACTCCACAACCAGCCAAGGCAACCTGTTCCACTGTTCAATCACCCTAACAGAAATTTAGATTTTTCTTTTGTTTAAATAAAATTTCCTATATTTCATTTTGTGCTCACTGTATCTCATCCTTTCACAGGGACATTACTGAGTCTGGCTCTGTCATCTATACTCCCTCCATTAGGCATTTTTACACATTGATAAGATCCCCCTGAACCTTCTCTTCTTCAGGCTAAACAGTCCCAGCTCTCAGCCTCTCATTATATGAGAAAAGCCTTAATAATCTTTGTATAATTATGTCAACAAAAATATTTTAAATAGTATTATATACACATGTATTCCTTTGGAAATAATGAAGCTGTCATAATTTATAGTTGAAAGTATTTATTCCTTTGTTCTTTAGCATGTTTACCCAGATTCTGGCATAGTTATTTCCAGGCTTTTTTATTGTTCCATAAATCAGGCCTCTGAAATTACTTACAATCCTTTTTTTTTTTTTTTTTCCCCTCCACAAAAGATGCTCCTCATGCTCCATTAAGCAAGTACATTGAAGTTTCTCCTAGAAAGGTACAATCCTGCCTGTTTATTTTTCTGTTGTCCTCATACATTGCAGGAAAAATTCAACAATCAAAAAAAATTTACAGACTAATCGCTTTTCTTCTAATACCTCAAGCTTGTGCCTGAAGCAATAGGTCTAGTCATCTGGTCATTACTTGTTGAATTCATTATTTTAGGCTGGTTTATTTTAATACAAAAATGAGTCCCCTTTGCACAAACACATTAGTTAATATATGTTACAAACCTATGCACATATGTAAAAGTACATATTTTCCTATTCTGCCCTCCATTAAATCTCATTTTTTCTTTTTTTAGTCCCTAAAACAACCATTGCTATTCCATTGAAATTCAGCTCCCAGTCATTGCTAAGTAATGACTTATTTTTAAGCACAAGGTCCTATAAACAAGTGATGGCCAGTGAATACAAAATTCTCTTTCTAATTTTCATATATGCACTGAACAAGTTTCTTGATTTAAATCTTATCTTTAAAAACTTGATATACTCTGCAGTTTATGGTTGACTGTATGCAAGTGCTTTGTGATCACATATAGAGGTGACGATATAAAAATAACTGATTTGTATCCTCTTTATGACTGAAATTCCTTCCATAATTCAGCTTGCAGCACTGAGAAGTGCAAAGGTAGCTTAATTTTTTTATTTTTTTTTTTTTTTAACTTTTGGTCAGTTTAAGGCAGAATCAGGGAGCTATTTAAACAGAGCTTTAGTCTTATTTTATGTTTGAAAATCAGAAGTGAGGCTTCAAATGATTAAGAAAAAAAAAAAAAAGAACTTTTCACATTTTTACTGTGTTTGATGCTGAGGTTCCTTGACTGTTGAAAATGTTAAGGATTGGTATGTTGCATAAAATACATATATTGAAGAACATTCTCAACATCCTAACAAGTTGACATGATCCTTGTGCTACCTTAGCTAAGTAAGAAAGCAGTCATGGAGAATGGATAATTGCTGTCTATATCTTATGATCAACATTATTTCCTTAAAAGTTAAGTTGTAAGCATTCCTCTAGTATGCATTTATTTCCAATCAGTCATTTATGAGCTTTAACACCCACAGAACAGAGCTTTTAAGGAGCCTTAGGCAATAAAAATTTTAGAAAGCACAAACAGTTGCCAATGTTTACCCATCTAACTATTCTGGGGATTTTATCCAATCACTGTCATAACCATTAGATTAAAAAAACCTGTCCTTTTAAAAATTAAGAGGTACCTTCACTAATGAAATTTGCATTCAGCCACAGGTCAAGAGATTTTTTTTTTCTTTTTAATTCCTTCAGGAGATATATAAACAAATAGATATTTTAGATCAAATTCTGGTACAGGATTTGGATGTTACGTATGAACTGAGCTTCATTTGCATAGCTTCAATAGTGATCATGGCAATAAAATGCACCTAAAAACATCATTCTAATTATCTATCACATTCTTATCAGCATATAAAATAACCATCAACCTCATAAACAACTCGCATCTTTCATAGTAACAATTTTTCAGAACTATATCTTTCTGCGATCAGCGTTGATGTTTCTTTCCTCTTCATCTCAAAACGTTAACTTTTAAAATCCATCAAATTATAATTTTACAAAAGATATTACCTTAAGACTGGCAGATAGTGACCAATTAATAGTCTTTAGTATTGCAAAATTACTTAAGTAGCAGTGTACATCAATGAAGATATTAAATCATTTAGTTATGCATGTGACTTCTGTGATATACAGTCCTCTGTGTATCAAACTCAAACTTTTAGGAGATATATATTTAACTCCCAATGAACAAATAACACATAGAAAAAAAATTAAACCTTCCATCTTCCAGATAACTTTCAGATTTTTTTGTGTGTGTCCATGGATACTAAGTGTCTGTGAACAACATTCATTTTAAGCATTGTGAATAATGTTACCTTTCAAGCCTAACCTTCAGTACTTAAATTTCCTCTGTCATATTTCAGTGATAAACCACATATGGATACAATTAAGGCATGAAACCCAGCATTTAGTCTAATCTCTCATCTTAGAAAATGATCTATACAATCTGCTTGATGTAGACCTTCAGATCCAGGACTGTGGTTGCGCTGTGCAGCTATTCGTGTCTGATAGTGAAAATTAGGATCAACTTTGGTTTAATGCAGTATATTTAAACCTGTTATACAGACCTCATATATTTAGTATCTGAGCATGTAGCAGTCTTCAACAGTGTTCAAACACAGAAGAAATTTTATTGTCAGTATAGCATTTTTCCATTTTTTGTTTTTAAATAAGAAGTGTTGCAGTTATGAATCTGCCTTAATGTGCTTTAGTGCTAAGAAAAATTTACTATTTCTGGAAATTCAGCTTGTTTAAAAACTTATACATTCCTATCTCCATTGCATTTTATTGAAGTGCTAAGCCTTGGACAATAGGCCCAAGCCAGAGTTGGCCTATAGATGAATCCTGTGTATTTTATAACTGATAACCATTGTGCTAGTAGGTATTGTACTAAGTTATAACAACCCACTTATGCTGATGTAAAAAGTGCTAAAGCATTGAAATACTGAAGCCCGAACAACAGGCCCCAAGCCGAAGCTGCTTAGTCTGTAATCATTAACAAAGTGTGCAACTCGCTAGTGAAAGATGCGGCCTAGAATATAATCAGTGGTGAGGACAAAACACTGAGAGAATGTACCCAATTCCCTTGTTCAGCCTTGTTCAAGGCTGAGAACCCACGTATCTGGCCTTGTTAGAAACTCCCTTGTTTCCCCCCGCCCTGAGCCCTGGCCAGGCTTTGGGTGGAATCCAACAGGAGAATGAAACCAGAAATTTTCTGCTCAAAACAAAGGTGCCAGCTATTCTGGCTTGCTGATTTTTAGTATATAAGGCTGGACCCGCTCACAGGGACTTTGGCAGCCTCACCTACAGGTGGAGGCACCGCGTAGGATTTCCCCCTTGCCGGGACAGGCTCTGCAAACCCTCGCTGTGACCGGGGCTGCCCAGCATCTGCGGGGCTGGGTGATGGCAACGTGTGCACGTGGGGATGGATCTTTCTTAATCACTGTTCTCTCTCTCAGGTAGTAATGGTTTAATGCATTACCCTGTATTCTCCTGTTTGTTGCTTTAGGTGCACTATTCTGCCTTTTCTTTCCACATGTCTTCTCTATTACACTGTTACATTGGTTATCACCAGCAAAATATGCTTGCTTTTTTCACTCTGGTGTCTGAATTTAATTGGTATCCTTAATCTGCAAAACATTTATAAATACCAGGAATAAAAACAATGTCAGTAGACAGACAGGTACATACATGTACAATAAATAAAACAGATCCCTCTTGTCTCAAGATTTTACCTTATTTTT